CCCTGTCAAACTCTCTCCCTAACCCGCATTTCTACAACTTCGAATTTGGTTTCACGGCCTTCTTCAATTCATTTTCTTTGCTAATTTTTCATCCTTGAACTACACTGAAGCTAATAGAAGAAGAATCAAGCCCTAAAACATCCTAAATCGTGCTAGCCAAGTCAAGTTTCAGAGCTCTGAATTTGAACTTCAATAGGTAGATTCATTCATAAATTCTCTCAAAATTTGTTACCATAATGAAGCTCTCATCATTCTGATACTAGTCGTATCATTTGTTTTCAACTGGAAGTGAGTTTTGGGCATGAATTTTTAAATCCCTATTCAACTTTTTCCTTCTGGTTTACAAATCGAGTGAGCTACACCTTAAATAAATTTTCCGTGAGGGTAGGGTTGTCTTCGTCTTAATGAGACGAAGCGAATGGCATAGGTCTGAGCTCCTGATTTTATAGTATGAGAGAACTACAATTCGCGTGGCTGGAGGTTGAAGATGATCAATGTGTCATCTCTCAACCAATGATAAGGCGCCACTTGTTTTTTTTCAAAATTCGATTTAATATTTGATCCAGTGGTTTATTCACTAAGGACCATGATATGCACAGCGCGTCAGATCCCTTGGATCTGATTACTAACGCGTTTTGACATTCATCCAATAATCTATATCTTTTTGTTTTATATTTATTTTCTGATTTTTATATTTTAATTGATTTAAACTTCAAAAAATCATAGAAAATTCATTTTTGACTCAAAAATTATGAAAAATGCACAAAAATATTTTCAAATATTCTCTTTTTGATTTTTATTTTTTCATGATTTTGTTTTCAGATTTGATATTTTTTATAATTTTTCCTTTATTTTGATTTATTTCTAATTATTTAAAATACTTTTTGATATTTTTAAATTCTAAAAAAATTTATAAAAATCATTTCCCTTATTTCTGACTTTCTGAAATTTTTCTAGAATTTTATTTTGATTTTTACTATTCTTGATATTTTTTTAACTTATTTGAGTGATTTTAATTAATTTAAAAAAAAATACTTTTCTGTTTTAAAAAATTATCAAAAATATTTGAGATTATTTTTTACTTTTCTATGATCTTTTTTAAATTTCTTTGATAATTTGAATATAGTTTGCTATTTTACCTTTTATTTTCATTGTTAAAAACATTTTAAAAAATGATTTTTTTCCTTTTTATTTTATTCATTAAATGCAATTTATTTTTTTATATATTCTGGCTATGTGATTGTTGATCATGAACTTCATTAACATCATTGGATCTTGAGTGTTGAGTTTAACTCCACTAAAATGGATGAATGATTTTAGTGATAGTTTGATTAAATTTTTTTATTCAAATATATCCCCTCCCTCTTCATCTTATCCCCCTCTCTTTTGTGCTACATGCTATTAGAGGATGATCTATATATCATCCCTCCAAACATATGGCACATAGATTACTATTTACCAGTCTCAAAATAGGTGTGACTTCTACATAAGTCTACTTACGATTGCTTAACATAGCGCTAAATTTTTTCCCAATTCGAGAAATGACCATTCGTGGCCCAAACTATGTTTGCAAGGTCAAGTATATTTAATTTGAAACCTTTGATCTAATAACCTTGAGGTTCGTTGTTAGGAGGTTTTGGTCTTATCAATCCTCTAATGAATCATCATAAATTTTGGACTAAGTGAATCATTTAAACATCGTTGATCATTTGTTGTTGTCTCGAGATTTTGAAATGAATGATATACTTGACAAAAAGAAAATGAAACTTGTTGTTGAGAGGCTTTGATTTTATCAATCTTCTAATGAGTTTTCAAATGCAAGTTTTAAGATGGTCATTCAACTAACCTCTAATTTCTAACTCATTAACAATTGACTTTTATTTTTATGCTTTTACTTTACGCTTTTACTTTACGCACCATTTATTTTAGCATTTACATTTCATATTATTTTCATCTTTACTCACTTGAGCATTTATCTTTATGTAATTTTTATTTTGCTTACTTGAGCTTTTCATTTCCTTTTTGAAGATACCTAATAATCAACTTAAACTATAAAAAACTTTAAGGTTGCTTGGACTATTTGGTTACTATCCTTGGCATGATGGAGTTATGGACTTAGGATTAGAGACTTTGACCTACCGTGAGATCATGTGACTTCTATTTTTATTTTGTCTGGAATTCTTGGGGTTTACCCCGAGACATTGGGTTGTTTGTTTTCTTTGTGTGTAGGTTATTCTAATTATGTATTTTGTCTGTGATTGAGAATTCATATGTATACAGTCGTTACTTTGCCTAATTTTTGTCAAGACTTAATGCATTTGAAGTTTGGTATTCTTAAGATGTTTAATATCTATGCTTACTTGGTTTCAATTCAAAGGATGGAAATTCTACATTAACTCATTGTGTCAAGTGTTGGCTTCTTGTTGGTTAGATGGTTCTTTTTCCTAGCTTTTATCTTATGCTTTAGGATAGTCCCTTCATCTCCTCTCACATTCTTTAATTTCAAAAATCTTCTCCCTCCTTTTGAAAACTCTTCTTGTTTTCTAACTTAAACCGCTTTCGCAATAAACTTGGAATTAGGTCCATGCATTTTCAAAAATACTTTCTTAATGAAACTTTAAATAACCTAATAATACTTTGACATTTTTTGTGAGAAGACTAAAAGTCAATCAATCTCATTCAAACCATTTTGCCACTTTGGCTTTTTACTTTGAACTTTTCTCAAAAGATTAGACTCTTGTCAATCCTTGTAGTGATGCGAGCTACTATACTTCTACGATATATAGTGAAGCGAGATATTTTCCACTTGGGTGTTGAGCGAGGCTTTTTTGATTTTAAAATACAAGTCATATCCTCCACTTTGAGATGACGCAAATTCTCCTTTCTCATAATCGTGAGTAGTAAGTATGTTTTTCACTCGGATAAGATGATGATGTCTCGTCTCTTAAAATTAACCAACACCCTTGTGTTTTAAATTTTTAAAAGGTGAACTACGAGTACCCTGATCCCCTATTGCATGGAAGATGGTACGCAGGCACTAAAGGTTCGCAACCGTGGCGGGTGAAAAAATTGTAAAAAATATTTCTTTTCTCATCTCCACCATCTATCTTTTATACAACACTTATAGCCAAAATACACAAATTTTCAAAGAGGTTCATGCGGAGTACCGTAGATATTTATGGTGCTAATACCTTCCCTTTGCATAACCAATCCCCGAACTTAGATTCTATCCCCCTCTTTTTTGGGTTATTCGCTCTTTTCCCATTCCTTTGGAAACAATAAAGTGTATTGACGATTTTTATTTGATCTGTGAGTCAAGTGAATCCAATGGCTTAGTCTCAACATTTATACCGCTACACTTATACCCTAAGTTAGCTTGTAATGGATATTTGTGAAAAAGCCCGTTAGTTTAGTATGTTTGGTTTATTATAAATATCATACTAGTCTCTAATCATTGCACACAATAAATCATAATTTAGAGTGAGGGTTATTTGTTATTCTTATGTACTTGTAATCTTGTTTGAAGAGAAAGTAAAGAATGACAGTTAATAACCAATTCCTTATGTTCGTCTTGCTTTCCTGCTTCATACCTTGTGGGTTTCTTGCCTCAAAGAAATCTGTTATACTCTATTCTTGGCATTGTTCTCACAACAAATTATTCTTTCTTATTCACATATAATCGTGAGTAAATTTCCCTATGCACCGTCAACTTCGAAATAAGTGTCTAGCATACAAAAGTGTGATTCTCCTCTTCTTTACCAAGTAAAACAGACACGGCCTGAAACCCGTAATTACTATCACTCCCCACATCTATGATTATTTCAATGTGTTTCTGCATAAAAACGGCATCTCATCAATGTAGATAATAGTATGTGGAATTGGCGGTTTTTTAATTAGAGGTGTATGTGGTTGTTTTTTAATAGGTGGTGTACGAGATGGTTTGGAAATGCGAGCTCCCTTGAAAACACTTCTTTGCAATATTGGAGAATCTGAGAATACGAAATCAACAACTTCATGGTAAGATGAATTCCACTTTGTTGAATTATCGTCTTGTGTAACTTTCACCTTTTTGGGACACCTTTGGTTTCTACCGGTTGCAACAGAGATTTCAAATATGTGGTTTCTGGATAAGTTATTTTCCTTAACTGTTCCTTTGTTTGCAACAACTTGAAATATAGTGGTGATCGCCCAAAAGTTTTAAAAGTTGTTGTATTTCAGATCTCAAACCTCTATTCATTATGTTCTAAATGTATACCTTCTTGATATTTGAAATACTTTGTAGTCTTTTCCGTTTCAAATCAACATGTATGTTTCTTGGTGCAACTTTGATAATCGACATTTCCGAAATAATTTTCTTCTCCTCCAACTTAAATCAAGCTACAATTAGGATGACCTTGTAACTTCGTATCCAATGCATGATTATATAAACCACATATGACATTAAACCGCCACAAATCATCCATCCTACAATATCCACGCAAGTCTTGCATTCTTCATTGCAAAAATAATACTCATGCAGTATAATACATATGCCTCTCTTATATTGATTACACTTTTACAATTTTATTGACCATACAAATCATAAACAATTAAACACTATAATTTTATTTACCAACAATAACCAATATAGTATTCAGCAAGTGACCAAACATATGAATTAATTTATCATGGGCAAGATCAAAGGAGAATAGGCAGTATCTGACAACTTGGAACATAAAGTTGAGCCATTAGCAAAGAGTCAGCAAGGATTGTCAAATTCTGGCAGATGTGACCATCAGTAGAAATTGATAATTGGACTAACAAAATCCGGCATATGTTACTATCAGTAATTGATTGATTGTCAAAAGTCATTTATATTTTGAAATTATCACCATCTTCTGTAGAAGAAACTGATTCTCCAAGAGCCACAAAACACCAAAATTTGAAATTATCACCATTTTTGGAGAAGAAACTAGTAACACCTTTCATATTATGACACCTCAAAAAGTCCTTTATAGTAGTCAGCCATGAACTTCTTCAAAGTAACGGGATGGCAGCTCTGGCAAGGAAGGCAAGTTTGCTACACATTTAAACTGTTCCAGATAATGATTTCATGTCAATACACTTGAAATAATTAGAATTAACTACAACAAAAGAAATATTTAAAAGTTTTTTATAAAAAAATCACCTTATTCTGCTTATATTTGTCACGAACAGCTTTCAAGGATGCTACCCTTCTTGACAAATACAAATCATGTAAAATAGTGACACATTCTTCCAAATCATCAGATTGGTAACCCAATGATTCATAGAGGCACAAAGTCTGCAATAGATTCAAAACATTAAGTACATTGAAATACCACCCTTTTAGATAATCAAATAGATTAATTAGTCCATAACATCAAATATCTACCCAAGGATGTACTCTAGGCCGGAGAATAAATTTGGCAAGAAATATAACAGAGGCAGCCACAACAGAAGGCAGGAATTTTATACACTCGTAGTCAAGCAAGCTTAAGTCAGCAAGATAGTTGCACAAATATTCAAACTGCAAATTGGAAGTCTAGTATTAAAACAAAAACAAACAACAATTAGTATCACTATGAAAGCATTTGACATTATCAAATCAAATAGTAATAAAACAACATTTCAACATACCTTTCGATTCTCAGATACAATTGCAACAACCCTCCTGAAGTAAAACAAATCAAATTACAAATAAATATAATCAGTACAGGTAACCTCATTCCAGCAAAGCTTAGATATTCAGTTAAGATATAAAAAAGATCCTTACTTTAAAAATGTGGTGACATTAGGGCTTCCCATTTCATAATTTAGGGACTTGAGTATGAGAGCTTCCATCTCTAAAACCTACATTAACAACAATAAATATGAGAAACAAAGCAACAGAGAAAAAAACTATAGAGAATTTGATACAAGAGTATATAAATTTGTATGATACTTACCTCTTGCAGTGCATAGGTGTTATCAGTAATTTGGCAGAAATCTACCGCTTTTGGTGGAGTGATTTCTTCATACTTGCTGCATATTTAAAATTGATGAAATTTTAATGCTTGAGCAAACAAACATAACATTTATATTTACAAAAAATAATAATAATAAAGAAAAGTAGTTGAGATCTTACGATGCAATGAGCATAGCGGAAACACCAATCAACTGAACCTTGGATCTATTGACAGATTGGATAGATAGGAATCTGTCAATGTAAGAAACAGCTAGATGAAGAGTTTCTGGAAGAAGCTCGTATTCATCAGCAACCTCAACTAACCAATCAACCAATGTCCCCCTCATGTTTGTAGTAATGCATCTCTGAACATTATCCATGTAGTCAACCGCCGGTCTCCGTTTTACCTCGATCGTGCGAAGATAATCGGAGATATCGGATACATAAGGTTCAATAATCTGCTGGTGTTCACGTTTAGCATTGCTTTTGTTACAAACGGGCTTATCCAAATTGGAATTAGGAAGTAAAGAAATGGTTGATGTTAATGGTGATTTGTTGAGGTTAGGGTTTTTTCGACGCTGGAGTTTCTGTATAGGTTGACAATCAGGAAAATTGAGATCTGGAAATTGTTCCAAAACAACCCTCTGCCTTTTGGGAACAAGGACAAACGGTGGTTGAATGGTGGCTGTTCTTTTCTTTGAGGCACGGGTCTCCATTTCTCTCCGGGTATAGTTCACTGCTTCTCTGAAATACAGAGGAAGAGAAATGAGAGATTAGGGTTTTAGAATTAATGGAAGTTAGCTTTCTTTTTTATACTAGGCTATGTTAGGTTTTGGCGTGTGTGTTAGATTTGAAAATGGGCGCTATTTGGTTTGGTTTTTTTTTTCTTTTTTGAATATGGCGGTCAAAGCGAGCGCTCGTTTTCTACTTTCAATTAATTTAATATAATTAAATTCAAAGGGTTTGGGTTGGCTTTATTCACTATTGGCCTATTTTCGAGTTTTTTTATTTTTTATTAAACACTTACTATACTACAAGAACTTTCCACCTCTTCAGTTTTCAGTATTTTAAATTTATCTCTTTCATAATTTCTTTCCAGCTCTTCAGTTTTCAGTATTTTAAATTTATCTCTTTCATAATTTAATTTCAAAACTTTAAAAGTTTTCTTAAATTGAATTTACTCTCAAATTTACCCAAACTTTGGTACAAGAAAAGAAAATAGAAAAATTTATCCAACCATAATGCATATATTTCAGGCAAATAAAATATGTGTTGTTTATTTTATCAAATTTTTTTTTGTTAAATGTGATATTCATCATTTTTTTTCATCCATTAAAAATGTAGGAATTAATTACAGTTGTACACCTTCTATTTTATTTAATTTATGAAATTGATCCTTCAATTTAAATTTTAACAATTTTAATCTTCTTTTTATACTTTTATATTTAAAATTAATGATATTTCAATTTTTTGAATAATAAATTATTTATGAAATACGACAAATCATCGTATATAAACTAATTATTGAATTTTATAGAAAATAATATAACTTAAAAAATAAAATAAAAATATAGATTTTCTGTGAAAAACGCGAAAGAAAAACTAAAACTGTTTAAATTTAAAATAGAATGACTAAAATTGTTTGAATTTAAAATATGAGGATTAATTTCGTGAATCGGGAAAAATCATGATTCAGGTGAAAATGCAATAAATTAGAGTGATTTTTTGTTTTTTGTTTTTTTAGTTGTAAAAATAGAATTCAAGTGAAATCTTTGGAACTCTTCGGAACTTTAGGGAACTATTCATAATTATATGGGTATGTTTAAATTAAGATTGATATTTTTAAACATAGGATTAATTTTGTTTATATTGGTTTTTATATCTTTCTTTGGCCCCAAATCCAAGATGCTTTGACCAACAATGTTTCTTTCGTTAGTTTAGCATTAACATATAGTTCCATGTTAATATCAATGTTGACAAGATATGAAGGGTGTGCTAGAATGCTAAAAGAAATTGTGTTTATTTCTTACACCACATTTGAATACTTCCCTAGATCCTCTAGCTTAACAGTTTTTTCTTGCACTAAGTTGCGACCTTTCCGTTCAGTATGGAATTCTTCATGAATATAGATTCTAAATGTGTGTTCATTATGGCGCATGTCATATGATCTTACGCCAAAGCTTTTCCTTTTTCTTGTGATTGTTGATCTTCTTGAAGTCGTCTGCAACAATTAGTTAACAACATACATGAAGTGTAACTTTATTAGGCAATATGAAAATCCATAGATTTTCAACCTTCCATTTGTATGTTGTTTTAACAAGAAAGATGAAAATCTAGGTTCACTAATTTTATGGTTATGTTTTTCATACATGCAACAAATTTAATTAATATCCAATTTAGACATATCTTATATACAACAACTAGAAGTTCATAGCACACGAAACCCTCATTTCCCATCATACGGTATTAGTTCAAATGGTAATGCATGATTTATTTCTCTATATAATGTCAACATCATGAAGCAATTAAATAATTTTTAATTCAGTTCTGAACTAGAAAATTACTAAGTATGTTCAAATAAGTTCGTGGTGTAGGATATTTGAAGCATAAAAAGTAAAATGGCATACTTGAGAAATTTTTGAACCGATCAAAATATGTGAAATTCGTGTTTTTCTCCTTGGATGCTCTTCTATTGTGTGTTTCAAGGGTTTTTTCTTGTGTTGGGGTGTTGAAAAAAGTGTGTGAAATCTGTTGGAGAGGGTGAATTTAATTTTGATCTCATTTTTCAAAAAAAAAAAATTAACATTGTAATACGGTGGGAGAACTGGCTTGGAATGTTTTGCGTTTGATCGCAATTGTTGCGGTTAACGAGAGTTGTCACCGACTTTTCTTTTATCCAAAAGGAAAGGTGAAAAAGAACAGGAAATACCTTTGAGATTATTTTCTTGAGTCCGGGGGGAGATTATGAAAAGGGAAGGTGTTAGCACATTTTTCATCCATAGTTATCTATGGGCTCTTAGTTGCTTGCTAGATCACTTGTTTTGTTTGAAAATGTGCTTTGTGGTGGTTTTTGAAAGTATTTTTGAAAAGGTGTCTTTGTTTAGGCGAACTTTGTAATGGTTCTCGTTTCGGCAAGAATGTATACAAAGTGTTGGACTTTTGAAAATATTTCATGGAAAGTGTTGGTGTATTTGAAAAGATGTTTGTTTTTGAAAATGTTTGGTGTGTATTTTGTTTTGAAAGTGAGCAAACAACTAAGAACGTCTCTACCTACTCAAAAGTTTTTTGTTCATTTCTTCCTTCTTTTGATATTGCTATCTCACCATTGATTGGTAAGAAGCTTTATCTTTGGATGTAAAGGGACGGGCGCGGGTCATCGTATAGTCATGACAACAATGTTGTAAGATATATTATCATTTCTCTTTGAGGGACTAAGATCATTTGAAAGGCAACGTTTGTAGCGTCATCGAGGGACTATGATCTTGTATTTTTTATTGTTTTTGCTAAGACATCCCACATGCATAACATGACCATTTTTATAAGGCAACAAGTTGAATTACCCTAAGGGTGCATGTGTGAATAGTGTGTTTGATTTGCATGCATTTAATCTTTGATTATGGTTATCTACTTGTTGATTTTTATCTTTCCATGTAAACCCTAATTACTGGCATTTATATGAAAGTGATAAATTACGGAGAGTAAATCTACTACGCTATTACATCATTTGAGAATGGGGTATACAAATTTACAAATGGGGATTGCAAGAAATTAAACCTAATTATCTATTACAATCATATTGAATCATGTACAAGAAATGAATAAATATAATGTGCAAGGATGTAAATGGAAAAGAAATGGATTTTTGTTTGGTTTTTGAGGAAAGAGTTTGATTTTGACCTAATTAACTAAAAGAAATAATTAATTAAATTAAGAAAATTAAACTTAAATTAATTAAGAAAAGAAATTAAACTTAATCAAGAAAGCATTTTTTAGGGTTTTTTAGAAAAGGTTTTAAGTTTAATAAAAATAGTATAGAAATTAATTAATTAAAAGAAAACCTAAATTCTAAGTTAATTTAATTAAAGGAAATTAAAACCTAAGTCTAATATTAATTTGTTTAGGAAAAGAAATTAAATTTGTAATAAGAAAATATTTTTTGTCTTTTTTATTACTAAAATAATATTTATAATAATATTAATAATAATAGTAGTATAGAAATAATGAAAAGAAAATGAATTAAATAAATAAAAATAAAATTAAGTCTGGGGGGTCTGAAATGGAATTTGGGAGTTTAGTAGTAAAATATTTTTGTTGTTTGACCCAATGGTGTTTTTGTAATCAGAAAAATAAACAAAATTAAAAATAAATAAAAAAAGTTGGACATGTGTTGTGACAAGCAGACTGGGGGGTGAGTCTTAGTAAAAAACAAAGCCCAATGGCCTTAGGCCCATGTGCGCTAGCTTGCTTGCAAAACAAGGAAAATGTTGAAAATGAAAGAAAAAACTGGCAGCGCTGGGGCTTGAACCCACGCCCTTGACATGATACGCGCGTTGCCTTACCACTAGGGTGACTATACATCCGTTAACTTAAAAAAAACCATAAATATATATTACAAATCCATTCCTAGAAATGAACTTCATCTTCAACCTCCAGCCAGGGTCCCTGTATCTCAATCATTTCTCATCCATTCTCAAAACTTCTAACATCAAACTTGTTAGAAATTTTACCAGGATTTCAGAAATGTAAACAATTTGGAATAACAATCAAAGATAAACATGTATTTCTAAAAGTACCAAATCCTGACCTAAGTTTTTTCAGAGATTAAAACTTAAAATTCTATAAGCTCGGGAAATATAAATGAAAGTTATGGATATGTACGACTTAAGGGTAATGATATCTATATTTTGTATTTGAAAATGAAAGCCTAACAATGCCTAAATGAAGAGATGGAAGTTCAGAAAAATACCTCAAGAACTGGAAATTGTGAAATGAGTTTGAGTTGCTTTCAAAGAGTTGTGATGATCAGGTTGACTTCCTCAAGTTCCCAGGAAGCTAATGCAATGATTAGTTTGTGCTGAGGATGGTTGGAATGGTCTGGAGAAGTCAATATGCAATGCCCTGTTTTTGAAAATGGAGGTTGGTGAAGATGGAGTTACAGTTGGATAACAGGCGTTGGGATTGTTTATGTATGATGTTTAGAAGCTTTAGGAACCAAAAGGCCAATAAACGCACGAGTGGATTTTGATTTTGGGACTTCTTGCCAAAATATGCAACAATGGAGGTTTGTTATGCAATTTGACTTTGGGAGTGTTTGAGGGCTTGTGAATTCGTGTGTTATCTTGCAAATAGTGTATGTATTTATAGGAAAGAGGTTTTGTGTACTATAACAAGTCAGAATTTGAATTTTCATGTTGTAAAACCTTTACTTGTTTTTGAAGCAAACATGACAAACATCTTCCCAAAGCTTGTACCATGCTATTGTAGAGTGGTTGAACTTTAAACAATCTTACTTCTGACTTGTAGATGTTGTGTGTGCAGAAGGATCCATTGAGAGGCTCGAGAAGGGTTGACATTTGCAAAAGCATACCTTTCCAAAATAGAAGCCTTGCCTTTCTTCCAAAAATGACAAGTTAACTTAGACAAAGCTTGGATTTAATGGATAATAGCCATAAATTTTGTGTAATCCTCTGATGAAGGATAGATACACAAGTTAGAG